TCCAGAAACGTAGCAAGGAGATCTGTAAAATAATCCATGTGACATCAGGGGTTCATCCAATCCACAATAATTTGTTATTGATATAAGTGAAATATTTTAGAAAATTAATAACATTTAAATACTGCTACAGAAACATACAACTGTATTTCATTGTTTTTTTCAATGAAATAAGATTATTTTACCATTCTTTATGCAGTATGGTAACATTGTTTGCAATAGTCACTACATTCCTTAGGTCTCTGATTCTGAATTCACGAGTCTTGATTCTAATTGGCTCTGTGATCAAATTAATAAGAAATGATTGACAGCGGATCATTGAATTATTGATAAAACAATATGGACATGTGATTAAGTAGAAGGGTGTTATATACTGACAACAAGGCTCTGTGTTGTATGTTTGTAAATGTGAGTTTACTTTGGCACAATATCATTGTTTTTCTTGCATCTTTTTCTGTGGTAGACTATATTATAGAACCGATATTATTTGGCAAAGTGAAATGTAACTGCAGTGCAACTCAGATCTGGAAGTACTTCAGAGCCATGCAGTTATCAAAACCTGTCAGAGAATCAGAATCAAGAGAGCTCTGTTATTATTTTGTGTGATCTCCAACATTCTTCTAGTTCCACGTCTTTCATAGCACTCCCATTGTTCTCAAATAATCAAATAAAGTAAATGGACATGAAATATTGATTTGGGTGAAATCATTTATTTATATGATAAGTTAGCATGTAATAAGCAGGATCATAATAAATCAGGGTTTTCCAAACAGGGGGTTGTAAGGAAACTGCAGGGGGTTTGTGAGCTGATGAAAAGCTAATAATTAATTTTATCCAATGTAAATTCAAATAAATGGAGTTGCACAATAATCACGATATAGCTTAGTGCAAATATCAAATCAAAGACTGTGATTGAATTAAACAATTGTATAGTCTGATGCTCTGTGTGTTTCAAAGCAAAGTGTGGTACTTTGTTTATGCAAGCAGCTGGTGATCTGGTGTATTTAGCTTCTCAGTTGATACATTTTTTTGAACACAATGTGTGCTATGTTCACTTTATTTACAGATTTGCACAATTTTCAACATTTTTTGTGGCATTTTCCACAGCATTCTGCCAAAATAAAAGCTTGTAATTTTGAGATATTCCAAGCTCAAGGGTTTGAAAGTGAATAATTTAAGACATTAATATTAGTATTTTACTTGTAGTATAAAATTTATTATTATTATTGTTCTTGTTAATAATAATAATATATTGTAACTAGGGCTGTCAGTTTAACACATTAACTTAATTAGTTATGAAAAATAACACGATTAAAATATTGTAATGCAGTTAAGTAACGCACTGGCCCCGCCCACAGACCTGCACATCATCTTACATTTCATATAGTTGACTGTTGACAAATATGATGCAGGGCTAAAATTCAAGATATTGGTGCAAAAAATGCCCTTGTATGTTGTCTCATATTTATATCGTAAGTGATATCACATGAGCAGGGAGAACACAAGTGCTGATTTTGTCCTGAATATCACAAGTTTAAATGTTCAGTAAATAAGTTGATATTGTATTATATTTTAAACACAATATTATGTGTTTTTGCTTAATTTTGCAGAGAAGATATTACCTTTAAAGCCATAGCAGAATTGTTGTGCATCTCTTGTTGTGCGTCTCCGAGAAAAACAGCAGTGTTTAGTTTCTGAATGAATCCGCATTTTGAATCCGTGTTATGATTACATTTGTTTGGGCTTCTAAAACAACAGTGTGAATGGAATGTAAACTGAGAGACTATTTTGACTAAAAAGAGGTTTTATTTTAAAATTCAACTAGTCAAATATAAAACACAACACAATCTACATTTACTAAAAAAAAGAGATGAAATATTTTACCTATTGCATGTCATATGACCGTTAACCAATGTCAGAGATTCGTGACCATGCAAATGTGTTCATTAAAATCTCATGGGGTACTTCAAACAAATGTTTTTGCTAAGGGGTTTGACTGACAAAAAAGTTTGGAAGCCACTTATATAGAGTCAGCTGGTGCTTGTCAAATGAAACCCCTCAGGATGATGAAAGACCTGTCTTGATCATGTTTCCAGGTTTATTTTGCAATAATGACTAGCCCATCTGGCCAATGCTATGCAGTTCAGGTGATTTTAGCACGTGTTTTTGAGGTGGCCGAAGTGTTTTGGGTGGTTTCTAGTTGGTCTTCCTAGTACAAATCAAAAGAGTCCATCCCCAAGGCTCTTTGATATTCTGGTCTCTCGTGTTCCTCCTGCAGTGTCTGAAAATGTTCACCCATTTCATCTTTCGCGAGGTGAAAATGTCTGAACCCACAACTGACTATCAAAGGACTGTGTCCCTTACTTGTGAGTGCCTTCGAAAGTCCCAACATCATGATCTAAACCATGTTTAACCTGACTTTTCAAGTGGTAATATTCACTGAATAGTCTCACTCCATCCTCCTCTTCCTCATTAGTGTGGTTGTAGTCAACTCCAGCTCAGTTCCTCGACTGCTCCCGGAGGTGGACTGAGCAGTCTGTCAGAGTCAATCCATCAGTCCGTGTTCAGCCATGTGAGAAGCCCCCTTATGTAGATTCTTCACCCTCCCATGCCCCTCTTTTTGCCGTGGAGGTTAACTACCTCAGCACTCAGGACGTCTCCTCCGCTGTCCTCCACCCTCAGCTGCAATGTATTATGCAGATGAAGGCCACTCATTATTGATATCTTACTGTCTGGTCGAGCAAGTAATGTGAATGTGCTGAATATGCAGTATATACCGTATTGGCCCGAATATAAGACGACCCCCCTTTTTCCAGATGTACCTTTTGGAAAAAGGCTTTTTAAAAACCAAATCTTGTTTTTTCTCAGTAAAACACATTTTGTCTTCAATTATTTTCATATTGCATATTTTTCCTATTTTAATTTTTGTTTTGAAAGTATGGTAAAAACTGGTAAAAACCTGTTCACCAACAATCACATTTAAAAAAATATACACTTTTTGATATACCATTAAAAAACAAAACAAAAGAAAACAGGTAGCCCATCTGAATTAGGACATTTAGGCTATCCATCTAATAGTAGCCTACCAAAATCTTATTAACAGTAGAAGTGAAATCTTACTGTAGTCTTCAAATCTGGGTACTGTCTTACGTTTTAAAATCACAAAGGGAGTTTGGTCCCATCAGGCTAACGTGACAGTCACGACTCATGCAGCTGTAAGGTTTTCTTTTTCTTTTGTTTTTACTCGCGATCTTTACAACACGCATTACATTACGTATTTCATGGCACACTCGTTTTATGTGTATTTGACGCCACCTGTTGTTGTTTTTTTTGGAACATGAGGGTCAGAAAAATGATTACAGAATTTTCCTTTTAGGCTGAATTGTTCCTTCAAATGCGTATATGGTATATTCACCAAAGCGATGATGGGAAGGACCTTGATTGCGAGTGTGCTCCAAGACATAAACAACATGCACTAATGTTCTGTATTATCTTTCACCAAAGCAAGATTTCTCATACAAAGCTCTCTCTCGGTGTTCCAGTGGCATTCGCGTGTCAGGTTATGTGCACTCTGGTGGTCAGCGTGTATAAGTACAAGTGCCTGGTTTCTAGGTCAGCATTGAGTCGGGCCTCAGGCTGTAGCTGTTTTTAGGTTGATAATGAAGGGCTGCAGTTAAACACGCACTCATGTTCACCTACAGTGCAGCAAAGGCCCTCACAAGCCCTTCTATTAGAATTAGAAAAGTTATGAGCACTCTCTTTTTAGAGGTTAAATCTAAAATTCTTCTCAGTAGAATATTCAGTCTGCATTAGCATATAAATGCACGTCTGGTGATGCATGTTTAATGGTGGGTGATTTAAATGTATAATATTCATACACAAAGTGATGATGTAGCTATAAATGTGCAAACACTGAGTGAGGCGGATGAGTTCTGATGTTAAAGTGCATGTTTGCATATGCGAGTCTGCATATCTATCTTTCTTTCTTTTTCTTTCTTTCTTTTCCTCTAATTATTGTACTGTACTTTGTTTGTTCTTTTTTTATCTTTCTTTTTCACTCTCTCATTCCGTCTCTTTTCTTTCATCCTTTTTTGTTCATTTTTCCGCATTCATTTGTTCGCTTACTTTGTTTGCATTTGTCTGATTTGATTTTCTTTCCTTCCTTCATTTGTTTGTTCTTTCTTTCATTTTTTTCATTTTTTGTTTGCTCTTTCCCTTATGCATTGTTTTTCTTTTCTTTTTTCTTTCTTTCATTCTGTTTTTCATTTGTTGTTTTTTCATTTGTCAATTTTTCCATTCAATTATTTATTTGCTTGACCATTCTTTCTTTTGTCCTTACCATTTTTCTTTCTTTCTTTCTTTCTTTTACTTGCTTGTTCTTTCTTTTCTTTTTTTATTCTGTTTTTTGTCGTTTATTTTTGCTCACGTGCATTCTACCATTTGTTCAATCTTTCTTCTCTTCTTTTGTGTTCTCTTTTGTTCATTCTTACATTTTTCACATGCTCTTTTTCTTTCTTTCATTTAATCATTAATTCTTTCATTTTTTATGCTATTGTCTGCTTGATCTTTCTCTCATTCATTCTTTAAATCTTTTTCTTTCAGTTCTTTTGTTTTTTGTTTTGATTCACTTTCTTTCACCCGTTTATTCACGTCTTCCTTATTTAATTTAGCTCTTTCTTTTTCTCCTTCATTTCATTTCTTCTTGCTTTCTTTTGTTCTGTGAAATAGGAAACAATGTTTTCCTGTTAGCGCTTTCTAAAGTGTTGAAAAGGTTTATGGTTGGTAATAATATGTTGGCAGTTTTGTGCTTTTCTGTCCTTCAGTACCAGCCTCTCTGTAAAGCCTGTATTACATTGTGATGTGTTCAGAAAACACTTTTGGACTGCAGAGGACATTGTTTGACACTTACCGTATGTTTGCTTGGTACATCAAGAGCAAATGAAATTCAGTCCTTCATGATATGAAACAGACTCATCTGAGTTGTCGCTGACATGTCTTCACAGAAACCCAAGCAGAAAGACTGGCACCCTCCTGATGGCTTCATTCTGGGGCTCTGGACTCTGATCTTGCTGGTGTTCTTCCAGACCTATGGCATCAAACATCTCAAACACATCTTCTGATTCCTCCCTCCCAGCACCGCAGAGGTCAAAGAACACACCGCTTTCATAAAAGAGTCCACCCTAACTTTGTTCATGATTGATTTGGTCAGGAATAGGTTTTTATTTATTATTTGATGCAAGTTTTCTTTGGGTTTTGCTGTGTATCATTCTTTTTTAAAGTGACATGCACTGACTTCTTACGTTCAAACATTCTTTGTTGTTTGGAGCTCAGTAAATCCATTTGAATTTCACACAGGGACTTTCTTTTGAACTAAACACACAGACAGCTTGCAGGGAGAAGCATACTTCTTGTTTGTTAGTTTCTTATTTGTTTGTTTCCATTTATCGTTTCATCTCTTCAACAATTATTTTCTAACATTCATAATGGCACATGTGGAATTGTAACTTGTAACTCCTCCCAGATTTCTTCATTTGTTCTCAGTGGGATGAGATGTGTGCTTTTTTAAACATAATCTAAATCTGTAAATGCAGTTGCTGATCTGTTGTTTCAATTGCACTTTATAATTTGCATTCTTATTATTTAATGGTTATTTAAAGTGGTAAAGGATACTACTTTTCAGGGTAATGTATGGGTCATATTTTACCACGAAAACGGCTCGATTAGTTCCGGCTTTGATGAAGGTCCACCTTCCGAAAAAAACTAAATGTGTTGTGATTGGTTAGCTGTCCCAGTGCGTTGTGATTGGCGAACAGCTTAGACAGTGTTCCAGTACTGCCACGCCCTTGCTCCGAAAACCAAAACTTTTTGGCGAGTCTGGCAGATGTTGTGTTTCGATTTCATTTTTATATGCTCTGTGTTGCCCTTATGCTGCTGCTGCATTTCTTGTGGATCCTTGCGTACTCCAGCAGGATTCATCTTAGATATTTCAGCTTTGATAAATATGAGAAAGCTCGATCAAAACTGCAGAATCATACAGCATATACATTTTTTTTAAAACAAAAGAACTGTTTATTGTTCATGTTAAAACATTTAAAATCAGTCTCACAATCAAGTACGATCGTTTGCGCCTTTTATCTGTTTAACACTTTCAGCTGTGCAATGAGTTTGGAAAACTGAAATTATCGCGAGAAAGAAAAATAAGAGCAAAGCATAAAACAAACACTGAAATAAATAAATAAATAAAAATCCAGTGTCAGTTGGGGTAATAAAATAGGAAAATACTTAAAATGATTGAAAACTGTACTTTTTTTAAATTAAAAAATTCACCTGTTATACATTTCAGTGTAATGTCTTGAAAAAATTCAAAATATTATACACTCCTAAAAATAAAGGTTTCAAAAGGGAGTCTTCACAGCAATGCCATAGAATAACTATTTTTATTGCCACCCATTTCAACCTAAACACTTAGAAAGTAAAATATTTAAGGCATGAACTGAACTAAGTGTACTCGTCTTGGTAATACAACGCATTCCAACTTAAATTAAACCAAGTTGAATTTCATATAACTTTTTCTCAACTTAATGTTAATGTAAAAACATAAGTTGCCTTGACTTACTGATCATATAATTTTTTACTGTGAACCTTTCGGTGGACAGAAAGCATTAGAACCATTATTTTCTTTATATTTTAATAATCTAAAGATTTTTTTCCCACTGTAAAAGAGCCTTGTTGCAGTTAAAAGGTTCCATGGATGTCAACCTTTTTTCATGGAACCATCAATGCCAATAAAGAAACCTTTATTTTTAAGAGTGTATAGTCATTAATACACTGGACATTGTTGGGTTAAGTCAACATGAATAAAAAAATTGTCATTGTTTTACTTTCTTAGTGCACATTTCAGGCCTCACTGCAAACAGTTGATCTCTTTAAAGGAATACTCCACTATTTTTGAAAATAGGCTCATTTTCCAACTCCCCTAGAGTTAAACAGTTGAGGTTTACCGTTTTCGAATCCATTCAGCCGATCTCCGGGTCTGGCGGTAGCACTTTTAGCTGTAGCTTAGCATAGATCATTGAATCTGATTAGACCGTTAGCATCTCGCTCAAAAATGACCAAAGAGTTTCGATATTTTTCCTATTTAAAACTTGACTTTTGTAGTTACATCATGTACTAAGACCGATGGAAAATGAAAAGTTGGGATTTTCTAGGCCGATATGGCTAGGAACTATATTCTCATTCCAGCGTAATAATCAAGGAACTTTGCTGCCATACCATGGGTGCAGCAGGCGCAATGATATTACGTAGTGCCTGAAAATAGGCTTATTAGAAGTTACATCGCTGGGGACTATTTTCAGGCGCTGCGTAATATCTTTAGAAACTCTTTGGTCATTTTTGAAACCACTGTCTTCTAACCAGCTGACAGTAAACAGAGACCGTTTTTCACAAAGTTGGATAAAATCAAGTGCCGTCATTCTGTTCTCTCAATGACTATCCTGTTTCATTCAATAATATGTCATATTATCAAAGTAAAATGACTTTCGAATGCTGTTTTACATTGTCTTTAGTACATATTTTGTTGCAGGCAGATCCTATACACTTTAGAGCTCTTTGATCTGCCAACCTTTCTAATTTTTCCTAGATGCCGCATAAAACTGTGATACTGAATGAGCTGCTGAAATATGGATGCGTACAGCCTACTGGAATGCCTTTTGTACCTAAAGAAACAATGAATGTGCAAAAGAAAAGGTTTAAGCATCAGTTCTCCTTGAATCAGAGTCTCTCTCAGTCAATCCAACACGTAAAGCTCCATCCACACGGCAACAGGAATTAGCCAGTGATCCGTCTGAGGCAGTTGGAGATCTTTGAAGGCTCTGGTGAGAGTCACGTCTTCTGCGATCGGGGAAAGACTGTGGTTGCCGTGCTATTTCTCGGTAACGGCGGCGGACTCCAGTCCGGCTGGTAGAAATGAATGTTGAACATCCGAGCCCAGCTGGCAAAGACTCGCTTCTCTGTGATGAAGCGATGGTGGCTGCCTCGCCGGCCTCGCTCGTGGGAGATGTACATGGCACATTCGTCCGGACCCGTCGGTTCGTAGTAGTGATATGGGACAGAAGGGTGCTGAGACTCCCTGTACACAATGAGAGCAGAGATTAAAATGGGGACCGTGTACTGGTTAAGGTACCAGTACATTCCCCGATTCCCAAATTAATCCTGAGCTAGATATTCATTTTCAAGGCAATTAACCTGATTTGGTTCAGAGAATAACTGGCTTCAAGGGGAATACATTGATTTTATGTAATACATTAAGGTTGCAAAATGGCTTGGGGGAGAGGTCATGCCTCAGTGGGGAATCACAATGAATCATTTAATTTTTGGCTCTCTATTATTTTTCTCATAGCATTGGTACACACCAGGGGCTGCCTGAACAAACATGCAGAAAGATCAGATCTATGACCACATTGGAAATATGTGATTCACAATACAATTTTAACATAGAAATTAACAGAAAGGTTTAGGATTTTGAAACATTCTAAACAACATCCCTATTTCTAATAGGCATACACCTCATAGACATGATAAAATTTACCGGCCAAAAGGTTTTTTTTACCATCCATGAAACTCTTTTTGCAAAAACAGGCTGTTATTACTACTACAATGACTAAACATATTTACAATGTTTTTAATTTGTCCTGCTGGTGCATTTTCCCTAAATTTTCCCTATTAATTATTGCCATTCAACATTACAGTATAATTGAAAACCATTATTTTTAACATTTAATAGGCTCTGAAATATATAACAACTTTTAATTTAAGTGATTTTAAAACAATCTTCACATAAACTATATTATATATGCATAAACTATACATATTAATCTTTATTCAAGCTACAAAACTTAAGCAGCGACTAGAGCAGTCGAGTGATTTCTCTTTTTCTTTTGTTCTTTGATTTACATCAATGACAGACTTCATTAAGAGCGCTGTCTCTTTAATGACAGACTTTTAAAGAGCGCTGTCTCTTTAAAACCTGATGACACGGACACATATCCGATTTTCTCCCAACTCTTTATGGTCATTTAAGACTTTATAACTCATTTAAGACTACGTTTACAAGGTAACCTGCCAAAACCGTGCATAAAATGGGGACCGTGTACTGGTTAAGGTACCAGTACATTCCCCGATTCCCAAATTAATCCTGAGCTAGATATTCATTTTCAAGGCAATTAACCTGATTTGGTTCAGAGAATAACTGGCTTCAAGGGGAATACATTGATTTTATGTAATACATTAAGGTTGCAAAATGGCTTGGGGGAGAGGTCATGCCTCAGTGGGGAATCACAATGAATCATTTAATTTTTGGCTCTCTATTATTTTTCTCATAGCATTGGTACACACCAGGGGCTGCCTGAACAAACATGCAGAAAGATCAGATCTATGACCACATTGGAAATATGTGATTCACAATACAATTTTAACATAGAAATTAACAGAAAGGTTTAGGATTTTGAAACATTCTAAACAACATCCCTATTTCTAATAGGCATACACCTCATAGACATGATAAAATTTACCGGCCAAAAGGTTTTTTTTACCATCCATGAAACTCTTTTTGCAAAAACAGGCTGTTATTACTACTACAATGACTAAACATATTTACAATGTTTTTAATTTGTCCTGCTGGTGCATTTTCCCTAAATTTTCCCTATTAATTATTGCCATTCAACATTACAGTATAATTGAAAACCATTATTTTTAACATTTAATAGGCTCTGAAATATATAACAACTTTTAATTTAAGTGATTTTAAAACAATCTTCACATAAACTATATTATATATGCATAAACTATACATATTAATCTTTATTCAAGCTACAAAACTTAAGCAGCGACTAGAGCAGTCGAGTGATTTCTCTTTTTCTTTTGTTCTTTGATTTACATCAATGACAGACTTCATTAAGAGCGCTGTCTCTTTAATGACAGACTTTTAAAGAGCGCTGTCTCTTTAAAACCTGATGACACGGACACATATCCGATTTTCTCCCAACTCTTTATGGTCATTTAAGACTTTATAACTCATTTAAGACTACGTTTACAAGGTAACCTGCCAAAACCGTGCATTTTGACATAATTGTGTGTGTTTTCGTGCGTTGAAGCGCTACTGGTGAGCTGTCTGAAGCGGCTCAGCGTATGCGTACAGCCGAACACGCAGCCTTTCAAACTATACTTCACTGCACCGTTTAGGCGGCGTAACCCCAGGCATGTGTCGCCGCATTCTCAGGTTATGTGGTTATGAAAAGTTAATCTTCCGAAATGAAGCAGCACAATCTTCTCAGGTAAAAATTATTAGAACCGTATCTAGGGACAAGTTGGCCATCACACAGCTTTGACCTTATCAGTCCGTTTGTATATTTGATTCGCTCTTGTTGCTTATGACAGAACAGCTAATCACGATGATCTTGTCTTGTATCACACCAGATACTGACTGGGTTTCGGACCCCCCCGGACCCCCCAATACAGTAAAACTGCACATTTTAGAGTGGCCTTTTATTGTGGCCAGCCTAAGGCACACCTGTGCAATAATCATGCTGTCTAATCAGCATCTTGATATGCCACACCTGTGAGGTGGATGGATTATCTTGGCAAAGGAGAAGTGCTCACTAACACAGATTTAGACAGATTTGTGAACAATATTTGAGAGAAATAGGCC